GGTTACATAAACAGGTCATTAGAATGTCCGCCGCGCGCCTTCGGATGTTGTCTTTTTCCTTTCGATTGCTTTCTCCTTTTATGCTAGAAGCCTTTTGGCTATGTGCGTCACAATTTTGGGGTTAGTTTCTCCTGGCGAGTGTTTTGCGCGTTAATTGCTTGCCAAGGAGTGCAAGCTGGAGCATTAATTATTAGCGTCTCATGAATCATCTACATACAGATGTTTTGGAGCTTTGGACCATCGTTTCCATGACCGTCCGCTAGCCGTCCGCTGGAACGGTCAGGATGTACGGCGTTGCGGACAGGGGACCGTCCGCCGGCGGGGTATATGTTCCTGCCTAAACAATGATTTGTTGTGATCCTTTCATATGCAGATATATGCCGTCGTTCGTGAAGATGACACCAGCGGAGGCGAGGATTGAGCGCTTTAATAAGAAGACAATAGTGGCTGTTTTGTGGTACAGTTACATGCGCTTAACATTTGTGTGTCCATTTTTTCTGACGTTAGACTGTTGGACCCTTTTCCGTGGTAAGAGTTGCTGGCTGAGTTGCATCGGTCATGTTAGGATTTGCTATGAATTCGTACCTGTCATTCAGGGATAGTTGAAATGCATGAAGAAAGCAGTGAGTGCTGTGGTTCACAGCTGTGAACCTGCAGGTCATGTGCAACGGCGGTGCACTTTGCACTTTGTACAGCTCGTGTACTGCTATTGTAAAGCTTTTGTATTGCACGGTTGGCCGTACAGTTCGCAGTCCCGCACACAAGTCGCAGTCACTCGCGTAAAATTCAAATGGTAGCACATGCATTCGCAGGATTCGCAGTCGCGTATGCCATTCGCAATCCCTTGCGTTTGGCGATATGCTCGCGTTAAAAGTCACCTGGTCGCGTTTAGGGTCGCGTAAAACTCGCGAATTCATTCGCCACATTCGCATGTAGTAGTAATGTTACAGAGTAGGAGGCTTCTGGGCCGCTTTTATCACATTGTCAGTTCTACGATTTATCATCTTATAGCACCATCCACCACTACCACACTATACTTCGCCATACGAACTGTAAGTCCAAGGCGGCGGGTCCAGCCGTCTAGGACCCCTCCTCATCCATTCACCCGAACAACCGAAGAGACGGAGGGTTCGGCAATCGCCACCAATCCAGCGTGCGAATCTGGTCCATCAACTGCGACCTCAACTCCTCATCTCAGCAGCTAGCCATAATCTCGCGCTCCCGACTAATTCGGGGGTCTCCCCAGGAATCGAACCCAGGACCTTAAACCGCGAATCGCAGTAGTGTCAACCCAGACCAGTCCCAGATTCGCATGTGCATACGCATTCGCACCATTCGCAGGCGTATGCGTTACACCTATAGCTAAGCTAATGCTCGCGTTAAAAGTCACCTGGTCGCGTTTAGGGTCGCGTAAAACTCGCGAATTCATTCGCCACATTCGCATGTGCATACGCATTCGCACCAGTCGCAGGCGTATGCGTTACACCTATAGCTAAGCTAACGCTCGCGTTAAAAGTCACCTGGTCGCGTTTAGGGTCGCGTAAAACTCGCGAGTTCATTCGCCACATTCGCATGTGCATACGCAATCGCACCAGTCGCAGCCGCGTATGACATTCGCTTGCGTATGCGTTACACCTATAGGTAAGGTAACGCTCGCGTTAAAAGTCACCTGGTCGCGTTTACGACCGCGTTAAGTTTGCGTTAGTTGCTTAAGCTAACGCACTGCCAGCCAAAATTACTCAGCTCGTTCGCATGCGAATAAAGATGACGTGCGTTATGCCATACGCTCAAGCGAACCGGTACGTTATCAGTGCTTAAATTCGCGTTACATCGCGTTAGCATCGCGTTAAACTCGCGTTAAAGCCTCGTAACGCGAATTTAACGCGATGTAACGCGATCACCCGTCGTCATAGTGGAGGTAACAGCTCAACCTTATCCAGGTTAAGTTGCTGTCCAGAAGCCTGTGCGTACACCCTCATACAGTCAAGGAAAGCCGGAATTGCTTGGATTCCTTCTAAAACAACTTCCGTCTTAACAGGTATGGGGTCACGCACCCCCCAACCATGTAACACACACACACACACAAAACAACTTCCGTATCATCAGCAAATTGCACACCTGTAACCAAATCTGGATTATTTTGGGGTAAATGAATCCCCACTCGGTTGTACTGTAACCAACATAGTAACGCCTGCGCGGCAAACAAGTATAGCAACGGTGCCAACGGACATCCCTGTCGCACACCCGCTGTAAGAGCAACTTCACGGGAAACAAAACCATTTACTACCGCTTTCGACGCTGTATCGGATAAAGAAGTTTAGTCCAACTAATTAACCCTACTCCTGCGCCCATAGCATCCATTGCTTCAAATAAAAAATTACGATCTAAGGAATCGTAAGCTTTAGCAATATCCAAAAAAGCCAGGAGACACGACTGTCCTGTCGTCGACATAAGTTGCGGTAGATGCCGCAGGAAAAGAACATTTGCACCTATCAAGCGCTCCGGCAGAAAAGCAGACTGCTCAAGCGTGATAATTCGCCCTAGTATTGGACTCAGCCTACGGGTTAAAATTTTGGTGAGAATCCTGTAATCTGTATTCAACAAGGTAATCGGTCGATAACTGCCCGGGGAGGTGGGAGACCCCCGATTTTTATAAATAACCGTGATAGCACCTTGCAAAAAGCCATCTGGGTGCATTTGGGTTTGGCCCATGGCTGTATACAGTTGAGCAAGAACTGGTGCAATCTCGTTCCGACACACCTTGTATCATGGTGTCACCAAACGAAAAACGTAAACGTAAACGTAAACGAAACGAAACGAAACGAATCGAAACGAGCGTCTCGTTCGTTGAGAGGCAGCTAAACGATGCCGTACTGAAACGCTAAACGATTGCTTACATTCGTTTGGGATGACCGGCGCTAAGCCTTTGACCATGGACATCCTTGTTGACCCGCTCGCCTCGCCTCAAACACGCACGCCAGTTTGCAACTATGCTTCATGCTGTTATCACGGATACGTAATATCTCTTCGTAGGTAGAAGAACGCTAGGCAATGTACTAGATGGACTGAATGGAGTGTTCACTTAGTCTATCGCGGACGGCTTTAGCACCTTTCCTACTTGCATAAAAGCTTTCTATATCAATACCACTTCGTTGTTCTAAACAACCGAACGCCCTTGCACTTGCCGGCACCTCGCTCCGACAGGCCGAGGATGTGTCCCCGAATCCTAATTGCGCTCCCAAAGAACTTATGATGGCACATAATACACTCCAGGTGCTTATTGGCTTTGCTTGCGTCCAAGACCTTCACATACTCGAACTCCGGTCCCAATGGACGCTGATTGCTGGGCCCAGCCCCCGACATGGATGCTGCCTAACGCCCTCAGACACCACTGGAAATGATAGAGCTATGTGTAAAAATATCAAAACCATCAAGATATTAACGGTTAGCGTACGTTTCCGTATCATCGTTTAGAGGGTCGTTTAGGGGTCGTTTTGACGAAAATCTGTTCGTTTACGTTTTAAACGCGTTTAAACGACCGGCTATGTTCGTTTGGTGACACCATGCCTTGTATAATTCAATTGGGATGCCATCTAGACCGGGCGCTTTGCCTGGCGTCACTTCCTTGAGCACCGCTTCCACTTCAGCGTCAGACACCTCCGATCTTCCTACATGATACGCATCCTCCTCCGGAATGACAAGGTGGCGGTTCCGCAGCGCCTCTATAACAGCCATCCTAGCCTCTTCAGTCACATTAGTTGGGGAGGAACAAATCTCTCCCCAAAAATCCGCAACCATCTGTGGCAACTTCATCGTGTCTGTAATAAGACGACCCGTTCTATCTTGCAACGCTGGAATAACTTGTAGAGTCTTAGACGGATGCACCAGGGCAGTTAGCCCTCTACTAGGTCGTTCACCCTCACGAATCCACTGTAATCTAACCCGTTCCGCCTCCTGTGCACCTTCAGCTCTAGCCGCTTGTACAACCGCTACTTGGGCGTCAATTGCCGCTTGGATCCTCTGTGTACTCATATGTTCGGTCTGCACCTCTTCCAGTGCCCGTGTTGCATGTTCTATTGCCAAACGTACTTGCCCCCCCGGGGGAAAACGACGTTCTCGCGCTTGCCGATTAAGAACAGTTACTTCATTGAACATTCGATGTTTAAACAACGGCCACCATTGTAGCATAGCTACTGTGTCTGTCTCAGCGGGTCTCTGCGCACACTCATCACCAATCCATTGCAAGAAGCTTCCCTTCAAGTCAGGGAAATCTAAGAAATGCGTGTGTAGCCGTGGAAGGCCTGGACCACGCGTTCTCACAAGACGAGGTAAAAGAGCAATAATAGCTAAACGGTGGTCTGTCGAAGTGCACACTGGAATGGTAGAGGAAGCGATGAAGGGGGTGAGGTTTGTGGAAGTATAGATTCGATCAAGACGTGACCCTCCCGACACACCTGTTTTATAGAAAAACGAAAGGTCGCGACGGGTAGGGTGGAGGTAGCGATATGTGTCTACCATATCCGGGCAGCATTCGGAGAAAGCCTTAGCTAAGGACAAGTCCGCGGGTCTACCCCCTTCTCCTGTGGTGGAATCTAGCATCGGATTATGGACAAAATTAAAATCTCCAGCCCAAAGCAAATGATCATCCTGTCCTATCCTGTTTACCACATCGCCAAGAGAATGCACATACGCCTTCCTCTGATCTATCGAGTAAGTAGATGTCATGAGGTACAAATTAATCAAATGAATACGGTGACCACACCACGTGAACGAAACCGACGCGCTACGGCCTTGGGGAATGTTAGCCGGAAGTAGTCGTGCCGGTGTTTGTATTATTTTAAAGTCGCGATAAAGATCTAGATCTGCCTGGAAGGGCGCCTTACGCTTCACCAGGTGTGACCGCGTTTGGGGTCAAACATCCGGAGCTCCCACCCAAGACTCTTGACGCTCTTAGGAGAGCGTGCATCGAAAATGAGGAGAACATGGACAGTATTTCAGAAATGATCCGCTCGGAGCTAGACATAGCAGGTCGCGAGGGGGCACTCAAGCTTCTGGTCGAGCTTAAATTCCCGCCCATCGACTGCAAGCGCGTGCTTGACAGCCTGTTGTCGACAACACCATCCAATCACTCCAACAAGACCAATAAGTCGAAGTCGCGCATTAGGTAAGCAGCCCGGCACAATGCCTTTCGATTGACCATTAATATTGCATTGAATTCACACCTAGGTAGGCCTACTGGGTGACTAGAACCATCATTACATTACATCACTTACACATCCGTTCCTAATGATGCATGCAGTGATGCAACGGAGTCTTCGGCCGTGAAGGTGCCGGCCTGCGTTCCTGAGGCCTTCGCCGACGTATTCAAGGCAATGAACTCACAGAGTGATGCCAGCAAGTTCAATGTCCTCGCGGCAACCGAGTGAGTTCACATGGAGCGTTGTTGCAGTAGGCAAATCTAAGCGGCATGTCACATTCCGGACGTGTGCCCTAGGGCAGGCCTGCCGCTCTTCCCTTCCCTGCTTTTCTCCCCATGACGGCCGTACTTCTGCCCTCGCATTCAGGGTTATCAAGGCGGGCGTTCTTTGGACCGACATCAGCGAGGGCCTGGCACCCCGGAACGACACCCCTGCTACGACACCGATTCATATCAAGACCATCATAACGCACTGGATGACTGTACTGTGCCATATCAAGACCATTGGCAAGGGCAACCTCCTATCCCTAAAGAGGAACAGCACGGCACGGAAGGAGGTCGAAGCAGCTCTCCTTAAAAGCATGAAAACGTGCATGCAGAATTACCAAGGCGGTAAGTTTGCAAATTGGGGGAATGTACATATACACCTGGGGGTAGTAAATCATGCATTGGAAAAGGGACCCCCAACAATAGCGCACTTTTCAATTTCCCCCCACTTGCAGTGTCAGTTCCCGACATGTACGATGGCTGAATGTGTGTGTACGTGCTATGGTGCAGGGCTCAAGCCAAAGGGCTACGAGGGCATGTTCAACACGGTGCGGACGGAGGTGAAACAGCTGAAGGAGCAGGGCACCTGGGAGGAGCCGACAGATGACATGCGGCAGAAGGCCGACAAGGAAGCCAGGGAGAAGGCCTTGGCAATCTTTGGGCGCATCAAGCAGAAGGCGGGTTTCGTGGACAAGAAGAAGGATGGTGGGTTTCTGGGATGGGCTGGGAGGAGGGTTGACTGGATGGATGGAAAGACTCATAGTGTGCGGGACATTCACAGCGGTTTTACACTCTTGTAAGCACGATTTTGATCCCTACAATGTGATCATGATTTGCAGACACAGAGCAGGGCGGCAATGCAGCTGCCGCCGAAACACCAGCTGGTGCCGAAGAGGTAGCCCCTGTCCAAGTTCCACGACAGCAAGAGCAGCAGAACCCCGCCAACCCGCCGACCAGTGATGAGGGTGACGGGACAGCTGCAGAGATGGGTGAGAACCCCACTACGGAGGAGGGAGAGGAGGTGGAACGAAAGAATCCCCGTGGCAGGAAGCCGGCAGGAAGCGACAATCAGCTGGCTGTAGGAAGCGAAAGGAACCACCCCCAACTGAGGCTGGTGCAGAGCAGGCAAAGACCAGCCGCCGCCGTCGAGGGTCAGCTGATCCACGGATAGGCAGTGAGTGAAGTAAGTTGTGCTCTCAGGGTTTTGGTTTTGGGTTTTGTTCAGAGTTGGGCACTAGCTAATGTTAAAACCCTGCAGCTGATATGTGTATTGCCACCTATAGCTATCCTCCCGGTTTCTGTCGTATGACAGTTATTAAGCATAACCTTAAATTTTGCCATTTCTTTTCCGTGCATGCAAAACAGGTCTGGACTCTAGAGTCCCCGTGGTGGGAGACCTCGGATTAATCAAATATCGGAGAAATATTTGATTATCAAATATCGGAGAAATATTTGATTATCAAATATCGGAGAAATATTTGATTATCCGATATTTGATTATCGGAGTCAGGAACTCATTTAGTGAGACATGTGTATGGAGCCGTACATCAGATCATACGGAACTGAATCTGGGGGCTGGGTCTGATTTCCTTTCTCTTGATATGATGACGTTGGTGTAATTAGCGAGTTTATACACACCCCGAGCCTGGGGCCATGGGCGGGCTCTACAGCCCTGCAAGGCTTGTGTAGGTGAGGCAATCTTTACAATTGTACACTCGAAGTGTTTGGTGAACATGTATGTTTGTATGTGTAGACATGTGAGCTTGATACAGGCATATGCATGGATGGAAGTGTATAGAGAGGCATGCAAATATTTTTTTACATAGGCGAAATAGGCATACGTGCTCACATAGATGGATGAGACAGCTGTGATAGCATGTGTAGGCAGGTTGGACAGGGACATGCTTACAATCCATTGACACCAGCATATGGCCCGGCATACGGACAAGGAACACTTGTAAACACGGGTTACCCTGTCTGTTACCCCTCAGTACAATATTACCCCGACCCCTTTGTTACCCCTTGGTAAGGGGTTACCCCTACCCCTTTGTTACCCCTTGGTAAGGGGTTACCCCTACCCCGGGGTTAGGTTACCCACCCCCCTTCGTACATAGCCACATGGGTAACCACTTACCCCTACCCTTACCCCTACCCCTAACCCCTGGGTTATGCTTAAGGGGGGGTTACCCCTCGTTTTATGCCATCGGGTCTTTGCGCACTAGCACTAACACTCCAGCCGTCCGGGCATTGGTCGTGGGGGATTGTGCTATTATATCCCATCCCGGTATCCCTATTTTCTGAGCCGCGAATTGCAATTCTCTAGTGAGAATTGTCAGGTCTCCATCTCCCATATGATGTGTCTCCTGTAAACAAATGACATCCAACCTATGTTGGTCCCATACTCTAGCCGCAGCATGGATACGAGTAAATGCCGAATGCGTAAATAAACCTGCTACATTATGGGACGCTATGCGAAGGGGTCTATTATTAGGCGAAGGGGTCTATTATTAGGCCTCCTGCATCTTGTCCGTCGCCCCATTTACCTAGGGGGTATTTCCGTATCTCCATTTCCGCGCACTACTATTCTATTTCTCACTTCTTCCTCCTCGCCGACTTGCATGAGGTCACCCGGGTCGTCATGTGGAAGAACATGAAACCTGGGCGGGCTTATTACCGTGTCTCGCCTCTTGTGTTGGGGAATGACCCCTGGAGATGAAGTGCGTGACGTTGGTTTGTCCGCATGCTTGCCCAGCACAGGTTGATCGGTGGGCAGAAGTGGGTTTCCACGATGCGTCCGTCTGTTTTGTAATTGCCATTGCTGTTCATCTGGCCTATTTCCGGCCAGAATGTTTACATCTTGAATCGGTTGGCCCAGCAAGGGGTGCGTGATGGAGTGAGATTTGGGGATAGGAGCTGATGTCGGTAGCACCGGTTGATTGGTGGTTGTGTATGAGAGCTGCTGCTGTTGTCGCTGCTGCTGCTGTGGCGGCTGTTGCTGTATCTGCTGCTGTTGCTGTTGTGGTTGCTGGTTCTGTCGTTGTTGTGGCTGTTGCTGTTGTTGCTGCTGTGTTTGCTGTTGCTGTGTCTGTTGTTGCTGTTGCTGCTGTTGCTGTTGCTGCTGTTGCTGTTGCTGTTGCTGTTGCTGCTGTTGTTGTACTTGTCGGCGTACAACGGCAGCTGCTGCTCTGCCTGCCATCTCCGCTGCCTCCTCGTTGGATACTCGGTTTTGCATCTGCTGTTGTCGAGTTGCTCCCCGGTGCTCGTCCTTTCTCGGACGAGCCGCCCACATTGTGACACGCCATCAACAAACAATTATGTTAATGTTCAGCAGCGGGGCTCTATTTATTTGCAATTAAGCCGTGTCATTTCCGGAAATAGTCTCGAGAGCTACAGCTCTAATTATTCTCTAAGTTATAACTTAGAAATTGACCCTGCACAGGTTTATTTATTTCTTCCTCGACGCTTTCATGAACTTCATGCCTTACTGTTCTGATTTCTGATAATAAAAACCTTCTCATATGTGTAATGCGTTCCGAACTCAAATAGCCAATTTAGGCAACAAAGACCAATGGGTGTGAATGTGGGCTCCAGACTCCCGAAGAGTAGAGCCAGTGCAGGCCTGCTGGCCGGGCACTGCACTAGCGACTGACAAACAAACTAGACTACCATCCAGATGAGACAACGCAAGTCAACTAGACAGCCAAAAGCGTGACCAAAGGGAAGGTTCAGGACCCACAATCATTACTGAAAGAGGCCTGATTGGTGTATCGTTTTACCCAGACAGAACGGGCAGTCAATTTGCGTTTCTCGAACGCTGGCGCCGAGCCGCCCGCCGCCAAACAACGTGCTGGATGCGTTACGTCATCAGCTTCTTGGTGAACACCGGGGGCCTCCCATAGCGGGTGGGTCGAGTAAGCGACCTTCGGCGGTCCTTCCGGGCCTTTTGCCATTGCCATACTATATATGCTGGCCAAGTTCCGAAAGGTATAAGTGAGCTAGGTGTGCCTGCAGCTAATGCGTGTTCTCCTCGACTAGTTCTACCTTGCAAGCCACTCCCTTTGGAGCCTGCCTGCTGCTGCCAGAAAGGCCTTCAGTCGGCTCGGATTAGTTTACGCCGGCAAGCTCTTAGCAGGCTTCGAGGGCAGCTGCCATGTCTAAAACATCTAGTTCGTTCTGTTCTAACATCTAGTTCTAGCTACTGCATGTGCTGTTCATGACCGGACATACATGCATGCCTCCTTCCTTGCTTCCTCGTTCGTGCCAGCAGGCAAAATAATTTGGGACTGAGAAACTGCTGAGATCTCGCATTGTTTATTGCAAAGCAAGTTTTGCCACATCAAAGAAAAGAGAATGAGGTACGGCTTGGGTTATGCAGCAGCTACAAAAGTTCGGTGGCTGGATTAATGGGCGAGGGCTTGCACGGGACGACGCCTGGAACTGGGTTGCTTAAATGGGTAGGGTTGGGGGGTAGAAGCAAAACGGGTGCATGTGGGAGGCATCAATGCATGTCCATACTCGCCGGTAGGACTTTTGGTCTATAGATCGTGCCCTGGCATATGCGTTAGGGACATTAGTTCATTCTATTGTATCCGGTTGGGATCTATGGACAATTAAAGGTTTACAGACTTGCATACATACATACACAGGCACCGTCGGTCTGCATGTATGTTGAGAGGCATCTATATCACGACACCAGTTGCTATCATTCTTCCGCGTCATGAACATGTACACGTCCTTCCATATGCTTGCTGACGGCGTTGTGTGCAGAAGAAACGGTGACCTGCTGCCCGCCGCTTGGATTCCGCGGGTTCTCCTAGCCCTGCTGCTGGTTGAAGCCGCTCCACGAAGCTTGGCGGCAACTGGTAAGGCGTCCGTGCGTACTTTATGCCTCGTCTAGTGGGGGTAGGTACGTGCAGCTATCGAATTAACGCATACACATACACTAAGGCATGTAGCAGGCAGCAGGTGGCATGTAGGAACGACGGAATGATGGATGTGGCCATCTCAGCTCATCATCAGCTATCTTAGTGGGTGGTTGGGACCCCACCCCGCCGCTTGAGACGCATCAAAGGCAGGGACTTCCCCCTTGAATACCATCCATCGGTCGATCCGTCTGTCTGTCTGTCTGTCTATCGGTCTGTCCATCCGTGAAGACCATCCAAACACATACACATGAGAGGCTAGAGTGTTAATACGTAGTAATGCGACGTCTAACCAATATAGCTCAACACTCCAGCCTCTCATGTTTATACTTGCAACTTAAAATTGTAACTTATACTATTTCATGAATAGGGATTGGAGGGCTCGTATGGCAAGCCGCATGCCCCGTCACCCCGTCTTCATGCTTTATCTAGGCACCTGGCCTTTCACGGAAGCCAACACCCTGCCTCCGATAGCCTACTTGCTACTTGTGACTATCATTGTTTCAGAAATGTCCATGCATATGTTATGTGAGCATGCATGCACGCCAACTGCCAGTCATTACTTGCATTTCCGTCGTACGTTGTCGATGCATCCGCCTACCGAACCTGCTGCTGCCGCTTCTCCATGTATCCAGTATGCCAGCAGTACCCTGGATATACCTCGATACCGGATGGACCGCTACGGTGACGATATCGGATATTATGGGTCACACGCACTAGCCACATGCAACAGCAATCCCAGTTGCAAGGCCTTTAACACCAACGGCTGGGTCAAGAGGAGCGCCACGCCGCAGATTCCCTGGTGGGGCTCGTGTTTGTACGTGAAGAGTGGCAGCAATGTTCGACCATCACCCTCGCCGGGGGCGGTGGTGTCCACAGCCGGTGAGTCTCACATATAAGGTTCCGGGATCGAGACCTGTCAGGGTCGATAATCCTTCCGATGGTGGAAGGTAAAGTGCCCCTAGTCGATGGACGGTGGTGACCTGGGAGTTGGGCCGCCGTCGATCCGGCAGATTCCGGTGGATGCCGGTGGTGGGTGCGGAACCTGAGCGATCCACTGAGAAATTGACTAGGGTGACTGGATGAGGGTGCCCCGAAATGCCGGGGAAGGCAGGGTTTCGCAGGATAGCGGCCACGGGAGAAGATATACCCCCCTGTTCCACACATATATACATACAGATCACGAATTGCGTGACAAAGCCGTACACACAGTTCGTTAGTATAAGCTGCAAAACATCCTTCCTTTAAATTCCGCCTGGGGCGGGTGGTAGATCAGTTGATCAGTTGGAGATTTTACTTGCTGCTGGCAGAAACACAACAGCAGGAACTGCTGCAGCGGCTGCGGCTGCGGCAGCATGTGCGTGCATGCTGTGCAAACAACGTGAGCACAAGCAGTGGCAAATTGAGTAAATCAATCACTGGCATGCGTGCACTGCATTGCACGCTTCGTTCTTTTCATCGCGCACAACCGTGTGCATTGATCCATACCCCATGTCACGCACATAGGTTGCTCGGATGCCGGTGCAACGCTGACGCAACATAACACGTACCGAGCGAGGCATAGCGCCGCTGCCCTCGTCTGGGATGAGACCCTCGCCAAGCAGGCCCAGGTGAGGCCGCGAGCCAGAAGGTTTCGCAAGCACCACATACACGCCCAGCAAGCGCAAAGCCATCCACATCAACCGGCGGTTTTCCTCCTTCCTGCTAACTCCTTGATCTCAGCTGGTTATACCGCATGTGCCTGCACGGTTGCTATAATAATATATAATAATATATAATAATATATAATAATATATAATAATATATAATAATATATAATAATATATAATAATATATAATATAATATATAATATAATATATAATATAATATATAATAATGACGCGTGGACATGTGCAAGGCTGCATAGGGTTGTGTAGGGTTGCGTAGAGCCTTCTGTGATGCGGACGTGATGTGACGTGTACTGCTGACCCGCTGCCCAAGGGTAGGCGATGGTAGGCACAGGCTGGTGGTTAACGTGGCCGTAAGGGTCCAAGCTAAGACGGATCCTTTGAAAAGGGGAGGAATGTAGTAACTATACAAGTACGACACACATATCGTTTATAAATACGGTGCTTCACCGGCATCTTGATATAGGCACACTTCACGCAGCACCAGCAGCTGCTACACTGTAGTGCATGTCTATCATACACACATCTGATGCACCGTGGAAAAAGGACAGGCGAACCAATTGCATGTATGTGTGTGTGTGTGTTTGTCGATGTGCACGCAGGCCTGGGCCCAAGCCCTGGCTAGCGGCTGCCGCATGCAACATTCCGGTGCACAGGGGGTGGGAGAGAATCTGTACCTTATGAGTACAACAGCCGGTGTGAACCCGTCGGCGCTCCGGTGCATCGATGCCGCCAACTCATGGTACTCTGAGGTCAGCAAATACAGGTTTACCAACTACCCATGGAACGACAACCGAGCCAACTTTGGCAACATCGGGCACTTCACCCAGGTGGTGCGGAAGTCCAGCACCACGCTGGGCTGTGGCGCGGCAGCTGGCGGGGGCAACACATGCGTGATAGTGGTGTGCCGTTACAGGCCGCCAGGAAATTACGCCACTGACGATGAATTCAGGAACAATGTCCGGCCGCCCATCAACTGAAGAGAGACTCGTGAAGAGGGCGGCTGGGAGAGTGCAAGGGGGTGTGTGGGCGTGTGGCTCCCTTCCATCCACTCTGCGCGTCACATGGAGACACAAACAGCAGCATATGCTGTATGTGGAACAACGGCATCTTCGCAGTTGGTTGTCACCAGTGTTTTTTTTTCGTTTTGGGCCTAGTACCCTAGAGTAATGAACTGGGTGTTTCTTGCGGTTACAATTCCTATTTGTATAGTCGCTGGGGGAGGCTGCGGCCCCCCCCGACCCCCCGTTGCCGTTTGCTTTGGTCAAGAATGAACGAATGCCCCGTTGACCTAAGTTGAATGCAACAGCGGGCCGTCTCATGGTGACATCATCAAATATCTTATATATAAATAGTGTATAAGCTCCAAATGGTCAGCTTTATATGTGCAGAAGGCATTGGGGGCGACTTATGGCCGAAGTAATGAACCAGTACGGCCAACTGACCCAACGATTCCATTTCTTCCAGGCTCAGACCCCCATCTATTCCCAAAAAAGTAATATATTACCAAAAAAAACACTGGTTGTCACATTCGTCAGATAGATTAGCATAAGGTGCGTACGTGCGGCACCGACAGTCCTGATATGTATCAACCAAGTGTATATTGTCTGGGCTGTGGTACGAACCTCGCTCGCCGCCTTGATATCTTTTTGAACGTTATGGCCTAGCATATAAATAATATATTTTTTTTGTTGGTGCGAAGGGGTGCGGTGTCGCCCCGTGGCCTGTGAAAGGCCGCATGTCAGGCTGTTGTGAGTGGCGGCTGCCAGGTGCCAGAATACTGACAGGCCGCACGTCAGGACAGGCTACCCAAGCCTTAAGCCCCTGCTGTGTGCCGGTAACGGCACCTCAGACTCATACGTTTACGCCCAAGCAAGGGGCTGTCGGTGGCAGGTCGCGGACCTCCAGACTGCGTGTAACGACCAATGACTCTTAGCCGTGTCTGCAAGGTTCCAGAGAGACACCGTCTCTTCAACATATATATGGTAGCATATATTGCCCAGCATATGTATGCCCAGCATATGTATGTATGTACAGACACGCACTGTTGGGTACGTACGGCGCGCATTGATCCGGATGGATCTGCGCACGCACTACTGCAACATCTAGCTAATTATCACTCGTTCAACCACCTCACTCTGCACGAACTAATAAGTTTCCAAGTAACCCTAAGGTTTGGTCATCATTATGCGAGGCACCTGGACGGCGGAGGAGCAACTAAGCTCCTGGATGACTTGAAATAACCTGTCACGGCATGATACCGTCAGCGACATAACTTGCATTGCAAGGTCTAACGGTCAACCACCTACAACTGTCGGGTCTTGTTCGAGCGATCTGTTTGCAGGGTCGGGTTGACTAATAGTCGATAAGAGGCGCTATATATTCGATCAGAAGAAAGTGCGGACGCTGCTCTCCACCCTCCGACCCACAGAGAGAGAAAGAGAGAGAGTGTAAGGGGGGGCCCCAGCGCGTCAGGGGAGCCCCGTCCGCCCCGGCCTGTAGGATTGGCCCCCGCCATGTGGCCGTGTGACTGCATCCGTAACAAGCAAACGCAATATCTCGCCCCGCGAAGCCGCAATATCGAAAGCCGTTAACATTCCATATCGTATGGCATTTCGCCTGTAGCCGGCGCAAATTTATTCTCAAACGAACCTTTCGAATCTAGAATTTTTATGAGTTTGTATAAAATCCAGTCAAAATTGCCGATTTCGGCCTTGTCACAGCCGCTGCGCGTTAGCTCTTTGCGTTACAAAAAGCTAAACTCATGAATATTGAGGCTAAAGCGGCCAAGCTTATTGATAGGAACCTCGGACCGGTCGCACAAGAAAGACGACTCACCGGGGTTCCTAAATACTTGTTATATGGCCATCCAACTTTGGGCGGTTTTGGGGCATTAGCAGTACGACAACATGTGCAAGCGCGATGGGCATGCTGGGCAGTGCGTTTTGTGGGAGCATTACTCCAACCAGTCTTAGTGCGTCCGCCTTGGGTGATGGTCATGCAATCTTTCCTACATAGCCTTTACCCCAAATATAATCCTATGTGTATTTTTACGTCCCAGGTGGGAGTGCCTTGGTTTGGATTAATCGTTTTACCGCCAGATGTTCAGCGCATTGTGACAGCGTTGGCATACCTTCCCCCAGTGGAAGATGTTGATGATCACCCGTTAGTTCCTAATGCGTGGTGTTGGAATTTGCCATTGTGGGGAAACCCTGTTCATCCAGAAAAAAGGTTGAATGTCCAGTTAGATAACATCCGCCCGGGACTAGAATTTCGACATCAAGCCCTCTTGGGCTGTAAAGCATTGCATACGTTGGGGGATGTTCTTTGCGCGCGCGAGGCCTTGGATGGAGTTATGAATGCAACGGACCAAGCAGGCCTAGCAATACGCAAGGCTTGGCATCAAATAGTGGATCAATACCTCCAACCGCAAACCCCACTAGCTAAATCCCTGTGCACCTATCGTAAATGGCAGGAATGTATGGATGCTATTGGCGCTCTTCTAGATGATATTCCAGCGAATTGGAGACAGGCGGCTAGTCTTTTGTTGCCGCTGAGTGTAGAATCTAGGGAAGCGATGGTGCCCCCTATTGAGTCGGTTACCCAAACCCTAGTGTCGAGGCTTGGTTGGAGATGGGGTGTAGGGCCTCCAATCCGATTCCAACATTTATCCGTTAAAATAGCGACTAATATGCAACTTTCACCTTTTTCGATGGCTCGCCGTGTGGCCCATACCCTTTTCATCAAAGAGGCGACGGGTTCTTCTGAGATATTGGATGAAGCTATTCTTCTTTTGCAACGGACATTCCATCGTTTATGGTTTCATTTACGGTGGGAAAATGAACAAAAAGAGGTTTGGTGGCGTCTCGCGGTTGATGGGGTGCCTATGCTAGGAAATTCCCATCTTAGGATGTCGCGCCCAACGATATGTGGTTGTTATCCAATAGGTTCAGTGGGAGGTGTATCCCCTCGATATCATCATTTCTGGGCCTGTCCGGTGGCACAGGCAGTAGCAGATCAACTTACTCTTTCAATAGGAGTGCCAGTCTCAAGGGAGCAACTTTGGCTTATCCAAGCCCCACAATCAGTGCAACAATGTGTTTGGGATGTTGTGGCTCTTGCTGCGGTGTCAGCCATGGAGCATGGGAGACGTTATATGGCTGCAAACATGAAAACTAACCCGGCATTGATACCTGGCCCTTCCCTTACGGAAGAAGCAATTTGTCGAGTTATTGTTGACTTTTGGGGCCGCATTCAGGGTTTCGCAGCTTTGGGAATTCCACGGAAAGGTTGGGATTCCGTTGGCGCACATCACCCCTTCTTGAGAATTATATCTGGCAAATTGCTGTGCTCGCGAGAGCGGTTACCGATGAGAGGTTAATTATCTGAGGTGATAATCTTTTGGTATATTAGTCTCTACTGCAGTGCACGGCCAGCTGGCCCGATGGCTCTACTCTTCGGGAGTCTGGAGCCCACTGTAACAACCACACACACAAAATGCATCCTCATTAGCACCTAACGTCATGGTTCGCACCGTAACGCAGAGTTGACGCGGTCACCTGTCATCATAGTGGTGCATAGTTTATAGTTTCTTGTGGCGTGGATCCAACGCATTACACGGTTCTTGCTTCGGGTGTACTGTCTTTTGAGATCATTACATTAACACAATTGGATTTCTTATTGCTTGATTCTTATCAACAAGATTAATAAATTTATTTACGACTTTTTGTGTTAGCGTTTTTTTGTTTTATTTTAGCTCTAATTAAATTTTGCATTTTAGCTTTATTTGAAAAAGAGCCAGAAACACTAGATACAGAGAAAGGTTGTTGTTTATTATTAGCATCAACTGTAGCAATAGTTTGTTTTTTTATTTTCGTAACAACCTCTTTTAGTTGTTTTTAAAACGTAATCAATTATCCAAGTTATTTGGGATTTGCTATGAATCAGTACGTGATTGGGTTAAGCGTTATAAAGAGGAGGGGGATTACTCATCAAAGCAAGGAGTTGGTTGTGGACGAGCCATAAGATTTACGGGTAAGGATAAAATTTTAGAATATTTGCGCAAGCACGATTAAATCACATCTGGATAGTGACGACAAACCCCCCCTGGCTTGCCAGTACGGCATGTAGGGAGAACTGCACGCGCATGTTCCCCCATCCGCAGAAGCATGCAGGCGCTTTGATTCAGAGGCGCTCGTTACAGGACTGACTACTCGTGGAAAAGAGCTCCCTCAACACCCTTCCCCCCCCATCGGTTATTTTTACCATCGAAGACCTTTAAAGAAAGGTCTTTTCTTAATATCAAACTACAGCGCACGAGCACGCGCTTCCTGCTTGTTCCCATTCCCACACCAACGCGCTGTCTGCGGCCTACCGCATTGCCCCTACATACGCTTTGCTACACGCTGCCAGTCTCTGGCTACTCTGGCTCCCCTGGTCTCTGGCTACTTCGCTCTCTCTGTCCCTTCCTAACCTGACCCCAGGGAGTATTACTGCTGCTACACCGCTGGTATCCATTCCCTGCCCTGGCCTGCTCCTGGAAAACATCGAGTCCGGAAACATTTTGAAGTCCTAAACTCCCATCCCGGCAGTGCTTCCGACTCCTTAAATGATCTTCCGACCAGACCAAGATGTCCCTATCAGGCCATGACGCCCATCGCAGCGGTGCCTCTCCGCAGCGCTCCACCCCCATCCCAACCCACACATGCACACGTACTAGCCCCGACCGCAAACTCACCAAACAAAACAACCCGGCCATCCAAATGTGACGTGTGATAAGGAGCCATACCACGTAGCCCTGCCAGCTATCCTTGCTAGTACGTTCAATTTTATTTTATTTTTTTTTGCGAAATCGTCCTTCGCGCCGGCCATGCACGGCTGAACCGTCTACACAGCCCAGCCCATGCATATGGCCGCGGCCGTCAGGGCGCCGGCGCCTCGCCCGAGAGGAGCGAGCGCATGGCCCTGTCCGCCTGCCACCGTCCCAGTTTTCATCGCCCCTGGAAGCCACCTGCTGGAAGGCGCGGCTGCTCCGCGCGCTACCTTAAAACCCTAACCCTGATGATGGGCTCGAAAACGCGGTTGCCACCAGGGCCCCCCTCCTGCTTTAGCACGGTCATCCACCCCACCAGACACCTCTGTAACTCCGGCTTCCTCACCCCGACCGCCGCTCTTGCCCCCTGCAACGGCCGCAGCAGCAGCAGCAGCAGCAGCAGCAGCAGCGGCGGCGGCGGCGGCGGCGCTATTACTGCTGCTGCAGGAAACACCCCTTCCCGAAACACCTCCGGAGGTTACCGCCGCTGGGACGCCGCCACCGCTGCCGCCGTCGCCAGCACGGCTGCCACTCACGGGTGTGATGGCGCCACCGCTGCCTGTGCCGGCCACGCCGCCCGCCACCTCTGGCGCCGCAGCACGCCGCATCGGGCGCCACACGACGATGCCGTAAATGAGCTGAAACGTCGCCAGAAGGATCTTGCCGTACAGTGCCGTATACCAGTGTATGGGCCAGTAGATCCAACCCAGCCAGCCCCGACTCGCCCACGGGTCATCGGAGCCGCCGCTGTCGCCCTCCAGCCACTCCAAATGCAACGTCCGGGAGGCCCACCTGGCCGGGACGACGAAAATTCCCAATTACATACGAATTAAAAGTCATCAAGATTGTGGTCGTGACTTTTCCAGCGGGGGAGGTATAAAGTAGCAGTCAAGGCAGGCTCCATGTGACAGTTGATTCCGGTGATAATGTATCCTATAAAGAATATTTTTTGTTCTGTAGTTTAGAAGTGAATGTACGATACTCCAGAACCGGCTTCTGAGGCTCCAACGTTTCGGTGGCAGCACTTCTGTTTTTCCTGCGGCAGCACTGCTGCTACGCGGTGAACACCTGCGCTGTTGATGCTACTCCACCATGGGTTGCCCCTCGATATGTCGGGGCCATTAAGCAAACCCTGATATGTGCGCCTTCAGGCAGCCGCTGTATGACTTGCTTCCTCGTTCACCATTGTACACCAACACCAACACCAGGGCGGCGGGCGCCATGGAAGACAATGAATGATGTAGGAGCCCCGGGCAACCTCCGTCCCTCTGCTTGTCTGTTGCCTGTCTGTGTTTTTGTTGAGCCTAAAGTCTAAAGGGCTCGGGGGCCTCGGGGACCATATGTAACCATAATAGCTATAATCATGCAGCCAGCCCGAAGAGATGCACATCCGTGCCTCCCGCCGCAAAGAGATGCACGTGTACCTTACAAACCAGCGCAGCGATCTGCCCCCGGGAAACAGCGCATCAAGAGCGGAAAAGGCCGCTCGCCGGACCTCGGGGGGAGCGTAGCGGGGACCGCCGCCAGAAGTCAGGGAGTACAGCTCGCTCTGCAGAGACATACAGACACACACACACATACACGCACCGAGTAACAGCAGCAGGAGCGTAGCAGAGCAGCAGCTTGTCGTGTGGAGGAGTGCAATCCAGGCAGGTAGGTGAGTGGGTGAGTGGGTAGGTGAGTGGGTGGGTGGGTGGGTAGGAAAGCAAATCAGGCTGTTCCCAGCCGTGGTGTGGTAAATCGCAGCTCCCAATAATTCACGGTTCCCGTGGCGTCGTCGAACAGTAGGACCCTGCGACGAGCGAGTAGGATAGCATGCGGCCCCTGCTCCCGCTTCCACCACCAGTTGAAAGTCCTACCATCCAAACATCATTGACAAGAGCGGCACCTCCAAAATCCGCTCCGGAACCACCTGCTGGGCCCCTTCCTTCAGGGCCTTACCAGAGGGCAGATCTCCCACAAAAACCCCGTACCGCCGCCACCACGCATTGACCTCGCCCAATGTGGAACATCCGTCCCCCCCCCAGCCACGGCGGGTCCATGATCGCCACTGCTGCCACCCTCGCTGCGCAGCCTAGGAACCCTAGGGACCCTCTTTTTTCTTATCACCGACCTGCAATCGCAGCTTGGTAATGGTAGGCAGCCCAGCCAGCGGTGGAGGTGGCGGCGGCGGCGTCCTACGATGCTTGGCGGCGCCGGCAACAGCTTTACGAGAGGCGCCTTTGCTGCCGCGGCTGCCCGCCTGTGCTGCTACTGCTGCTGCTGCATCCATTGGTGCAGTCGGTGCCGCCGCCGCCGCTGCCGCCGCGACCTCGCCAACATGCCCTGGTGGCAATGCTGCTTCTGTCACTGCTGATGCTGCTGCCTGGACGCCCTGTTGCCGTACTTGTGGCGCTGACTGCGGCGGCGGCGGCCGCGCGAGGGCTCGTAGAGCTCGGAGGTACTTCAGCAGGCCCGCCTGGTACGTACGTACGTATGTACGTACGTATGTATGTATGGACATTTGTAGGGTTACCGTGGATTCGTGCTTTGCAAGACACACAATTACCAAATTGTACCATTGTAAAATCTCCTACTCAGCTTTTGGTTAAATGGTGTCCTATCTTGGCACCGATCTTCCCTGTACTGCAACCACCCACCTCGCTGTTTATTTGGCCCAGCACGTCCGTCACCTCTACCACCAAGAAATCCAGCCCTGCCAGTGACGACGACGCTGCCGTGCCGCCCCCGTTGATGCTGCCACTGCCACTGCCACCGGCAGCCGCACCAAAACCCGTCTGAAACATCGAGCCAGCTCCTTCCAGCGGCACCGGCGGCGGGAACCGCCGCGCCAGCTCTGAAACCTGCTCGTCCAGGCAATAGTACGGCAGAAACGCCGCTGCCACCGCCAACAGCCATGGCCGCGCCGTCACCGGCACGGCGTCGATCGTCGTCACCGGCGGCAACGCCGCCGTCGGCGGCGCAAAGCCGGCAACTTCGTCGGCGGCGGCGGGGGACCCGCCGCCGCCGCCGCCAGCCCCTTCAGCCGCCACCGGCTGGATTGCCAAGCCGGCCACCTCAAACGCCAAAAATGCCCACAGCGGTTGGAACCTAGATAACCCCGATAGCACGTCGCCGAGCAGCAACTGCCTTGCGCCGTGCGCGAGCACATTGAGGTGCTTGACACGTGGATCCGAGTACGACATGCCGTACGACGTCTTGCTGCCGCTACTACCCGCGACTGCGGCCGGAGCAGCGGTAAGGCCAGCCGCCGTTGCCGCCGTCGCGGCGGCGGTTGGGGAGGAGGCCATGGCGGTGTCCCGAGGCAGCAGAAGGAACCTGGATCACATACACAGCACACACAAATAATATAATAATAATAATAATAATAATAATAATAATAATAATGGTATCAGCATCACTCGTGTATGGTTCATCTTTCCAACCCACCCACCACCGCTTCCCTCTCCCGCCATCCCACGTATGTACAACACGCACACAGCACGTGCTCACGAAACCCCGAAGGACCCGACTGCTAATCACGGACTTTGATGCGTCAGCTTTGATGCACGATGGACGAAAAAGCCGGGACCGGACCGGACCGGACCGAACTGGACTGGGCCGCAGCTTCTTGCCAACCGTCACCAGAGGCGGCTAACCAAAGGGAACAAACGCCGCGCCCCGTCCGGTGCCGCAGTCTGCCCCCTACCCTCCCCCATGTCCCCCGTCCTCCGACACCGACAGGTAATCTGATATATGCGTTGGACGGCCTGTAGGTCAGCGGCACAGGTAAACCTGTGCATCGTCTTGCATCACCACAATATGATTTACATTTACACCTTCTCCATCCGCGGCCCGGCAGACGTCCCGCGGGCTCTGGTGCAACCCACCCAACCCCCCGGCTTCCCCCCCAAGGGAGATTTGTTTTTACAAGCCCCCGCCCCCGCCCCCGTCCACACCTCGGGGGCGGCTACATTCCGCACCTGTGCAGCAGCAAGGCGTATATTGGCGCCACCCAGGGTGTGTCCCACAGCAGCTGACACAGGTGCATCAGCGCACGTGCCGAGTCGGCCGCGGCCCGCGAGGCGTAGTACACAGCCAGGACCTGAGCGGTGCGCGGGGCGCAGTTTGAAACGTTGGGACGTGGCCGGGAAAGGGGGGGGGATATAAGGAGAGCAGTGTCGCTATAAACACCTGAACCCTCCGGTGGGAGGGCGGGGTTACACGCCGCCAAGGAAGAATTGTTAGTCATAATTCACCAATTATTATAATAGTAGTTACGTGGCTGTGGTAAATATGTTTGCTTTAAGGCTCGAACGTTCTTAGAAATAGAACAAAATAGAACCCTCTGGTCCACGCTTGGAGGAAAGTACATCAGGAGCCCCACCTCACCTCCAGGGGCCCTTCCCTTCCAGAAGCTCCGAAACCAACCCCATCAGCTGAGCAATACCGACCTCCCTGCCTACCTGCGCAAACCCCCCTACTTCAACTCAGAAATAACCCCCTGCCTCAAACCCATGGCCTTCTTCCGCTCGATCCATCCCTCCATCCCTTCCTCCTTCCTTCCTTTCCTTCCCTTCGATATTGCAGTAATGGAAAAGGAAGAAGGGAAGGCCACGTCCAATCGCAACACCGCCAGCCCCACTCCCATGTCCGCTTACCCCAACCCAGTACATAACACGCCACCGAGAAAAACACCCCCATAATTACACAGCCGGCCAGCCAGCAGCCACCTAACCAACCAAGCAGCCACCCATGTAGCTTGTCACTCAGCTGCTGCCGGGTCCCGCAACTCACTTCGTAGTACAACCTGCCCCGCACACGAGCCCGGCGCCCGGGGCCGTGTGCGGCTCCACAGGCAGTGGGGGGCACAGCATCGCCGTCACCGCCGCCACCGCTACATTCCACTGCCGCCTCCACCGCGGCCCCTGCCTCCACCCCGGGCGGACCCAGCAACGCAGCCTGGGCCGAGGCATCCAGAGCGCATGTGATGTCCGCGAAGAGCTCCTCACACACCTATTGGTTGGTGAGAACAGAACACGGGGAAGCACCCTAAGTAGGAAACAACACTAACGAATAACGACAGCAAGAACCGAGGTTGTGCCATATTAATAAAAACAGGCCACAATCAAGACCACAACCGGGAGCGAATGGAAACTGAGGCCACAATTCCATCAACTTCTTTCTCCAACAACACCAGCAAGTCCACCATTGTGTTATTGTGTAATAGTATAGGAGTCATAGACCAGACATCACAGTGTCATGGAGAGGGGAGGCATGCTATATTATTTATGAGCAGACTCTGGGCTCTTTGGGGTGTGGCCAGGCCAGGTCAGGTCAGGGGTGTGGATCATATCCGTCCGAAGTTGCAAACCTCTTCCCCACCCCCACATACATACATACATACATACATACATGCATACATACATACATACATACATACATATACACACACACTTTTGCATCCCCCGAAACGGCCCCCACCCTCACACCCACTGCAAACGAGCGAATCGGGAAAAATCCCATTACTACACACACATACACACATATGACCAGGAACTAAGTTGAGGCGCCGTTGATCCGCTAGACTTGGTTGGATGCTGGTGGTGAGTTGCTGAACCCAACGAATACATTCTGAAGTCGGATGGGGTGACGGATTAGGGTGCCCCTCTAGCAGGGGAGAGCAGGGAACTGCCTCCAAGGGAAAGGGGGCCGCTGGTGAAGCTATACCACCCTGTAACAACATACATACATATATACTGCCCTTACAACATCAAGCACGCGCTTTAAATACCTGGCACCGACAGGCCACCAATGCATATACGGCGTCCCGCGTCAACCCCCCCTTCCCGCCTCCCTCCCCCCAAAACACACACAGCGTCCGCCCCCCCGCCCCTGCTGGCCTCGCGCCCTGCTGGTCCCTACCACGTGGCGGTCCTCCATGCTGCCCGCGCTGGCCGCCAGGCGGAGCTTCCGAATGACCTACAGCAGCCGCAGCATCAACATCAACATCAACAGCGGCGGCGGCGGCAGCAGCAGCAACATCAACAGCGCGTGGGGAACGCAGAAGCGGTCTGGGGACTGGGCTGGGCTGGGCTCTGGACTGGGCTGTGCTCATTCCGGGGGCACATTGCTGATCCCCGGCACGAAAAATCTCACCTTTCCAACTGGGCGAACCATGCGTGTTATGCATACCTCTCCCTAAAAACGGGCACAATGCAGGCGAAAATACATTCGCCTTCCTGGTGTGATGCTTTCACCACAGCGCACACACACACTATTGCACACGGTTTACAAGTTCGGTAACGAGGACAGCACTCCCCCTTCCGTTTCCGTTGCAGCAAGGAAGTAGTATATGTATGGAAGCATTGTAGCTGTAGAGGTGTGCTCGACCCGGGGCGGAATCCATGGAGGACGTTTGCTGTGTCTCTTCTTCGTCGTCGTCTTCTACGGGACATCTCGATTTTTTTCCGAAATCTGATTGCCGCATGCTGCATGCCGTGACCCAGATCACGTGACTCAGACCTCCTGAGGTGTCATGCTCCCTAGGCACGGCCCGGTGGCGCGACCCACATCCCCCACATACCACTTTCGGTCAGTTCTACGTCTGGTACACTCTTGCCCTGGCAGCAGCTTCACTCGGTGACAGCAGCTTCACTCATTTGTGGTTCGTCTTTCCCCCACATCCACATCCCAACTGCAACCTGCCCGCCCTCACGTTCATGCTCGAGGCACACCAATAATGTTGTAGCTTGTCGACGGCTAGCATTCCGCAAGCTAGCATATGCTGGTCGTCGTCCCACGTACCTCGCGCGACACGTGCTCCAGCATCGAGCTGGTTGGCCCAAAGGAAAACAACGACGAGCCGCCAGCACCTCCACCACCGCCAGCACCACCTGCAGCGCCCGCCGGGACCGTGGCGCCGCTTCCGCTAGACTTGGCGCCTCCACCGCCGCCAGCACTCCTCTCCAGCCCTGGAGTTACGATCCCAGATCCGTCTCCACCGCTGAACTTGTTATCAATGCCCCCCGGTGCGCTGTTTCTGCAGCTGCGAGCTTGGGTGCCAAGGGCCTCGGTGCTGCCACTACCTGCGTCACTGCTGCCTGCTGCGCCCCGCCGCAACCCATTGCTGACGCCGCTGCGTTCTCCGGTGCTAAGATTAGAAGGGATGAGTGGATCCATAGCTAATGGACCTGGGCTTTGGTGGGTCTGGTGGCCCAGGGATGTACTGCCAGGCGGCGAGGACGCTATCGCGGGTGCTGGTGCCGAAGGGGCTGTCGATGCTGTTAATGCTCTTCCTTCGAACTCCCTTCCGCTTGGGCTGTCAGTACCCTTTCCATGGGAAGTCCCGTTTTCCTTCATGGCGTTAGGTTCGAAAGATGCTGACCCACCGTAGCCTGTGTCAACGCCACAAGCGCGCAAAATTACCCCGCCGGGAGAAGCTCCTCGAAGCGTTGAAACAACAGCAGGCCCCGATTCTGATTTTTCAGAAATATGTATGTTGTTATCTGTCTGGCAGGCCGTTCCACCTGCCGTTGTCCCTGAGGCATCGGCGGTCAGCTCCGGGTGCCGTGCTTCGGCGACCCCGGTGCCCCAGCTAAGCCCGGGGCCGTTTGCCATGCGGGGTTCATGCGAACGTCCGCAGGGCCGGCTTGATGACGACGTAGGTGTAGACGACCAGGGCCACGGTCAGCCCTGCCACAGCGATGGCGAGCCACTGCGGATCGTCAGTGACAACAGAACCGGGCACGGGTGCCATCTCCTCAGGACTACAATTATATATCTTTCGGCGATTCTCCTAAAATTGTTTAAAGATTACAGAACGAGTGCCAAGTGGGACTTTGAAAATGCTGACGTAAAGCTGACTTGATCAAATGGCAAGATAGATCTACGACTAGTACTCCACATGTATGCGTTTTCCTGCCCTGCCGGTACTGCCTTTCACGTCCATCAAGAACGGCGAAGCACCGTACAAGAAGTTAGAAAAGCGCACGGCGCATAGCTTGGCTGGCAAGTTGGTCCGCTTAGGGTTGACCATTGATTACAAATCCGTTCTGTACCTGGAGCAGGAGAAACTACAACATCGCCTCGCAGTCGCGGCGACAACACTGTCTATCTGCCGTTCCTTCTCCGTTGCCTTAACCTTTGCAGCGTAATAAGCAACGGAAGGAGTACGAGTTCATGTGGCTAACGCGATGTTCGTGAGCCCATAGGCGCTTTTCTACTTGCAACTTACTCCACGCGCCGACGTGCGAGTTGCCCGTGTTCCCAGCGGCGGCTCTTAACTTCGCTTGCCAAGGCAGCATGCGTGCGTTGCGTGCAAGCATACAAGTTCCCGCTGGCTGGCGACGCTCGCTCAGTACAACATCTCCTTGGGATGGTCTCTGTTGCCCTTCTTCACGCCCCCTTCGCATCGGGCAATGCCAAGTCCAACAAGGGGGCGGAAGGAAGAAGCGGCTCCCGTTTTCATCTGCCGGCATTAGCCGCACCAATAGCAATAAAGCCGATGGCAGTAGGGATTCGAGCGACAACAGCAGCAGTAGCAACGGTGCCAGAGGTGCAAACGCTATCAGGGTGAGGCGCTTCAGCTGCTTTTCCCCATCGCCTTCAATAAAAATTACCAGCCATGCAGCCCTGCTAACTGCATACAGCTGATTCCGTAGAAGTCTCTTTTCTACTGGGGACTTGGCGTGTTTGGCTTTGGCGTCTTACGGGTTACTTCGCATGTTTCACGTGTGTGACATCATGAGCCCTCCTGAAACTGTTACTTGTCGTCGCGATGCTCTTCCGGGTCTGTGTCTTCCGGACCTCCTAAAGGTCATTCTGGGCCCGCCCTGGGCATCTGCACGAGCCTGCGGAAACGAACGAACGAATCAACGAAGGACGAGGTTAAGATGTGATGATGGCAGACGGTAACTGTGACTGCGATTACAAAGATTACAGAACATCTTGGCGAAACCAGCAACAGCAGCAGCAGCAGCAGCTGCAACGCCACGCAGCAATGCATTTCAGCTACGAGTAATACTTCGGCAGTTGTTGACGCCGTACTTTGTCAGTTGGATTCTTGCCTTTTTGGGGTTCTAGCCTTTTTTTGCTACACGTGTTGGGATCCCCGTCAACGAAATTCCTATACACCCGGTTTTGTTTTGTGCCTGCCGGCATTTCAACCTTTCCTTTTTGGCGAAATGTTTTTTTTGTTTTTTTGCAGGCGGCCGTGGGAATCGACCTGGGTACCACCACCAGCGCGATAGCAGTGGCGGGGCCTGACGGCAGGTGCGTTCCGCGCGTTTAAGAATGACCTGCGAACGAAAAAACGTTTAGGAGGGCATGGCAGGGGTGGGTGAGCGAAGGAAAACATGGCGCCGAGTTGTGGCCCCACCACCGCGGGGGTCTGAAAGCCAAAATTAGCTCCTGTGGTGGTGTTGTACTAGGCATTCACTCGCGAATTTCATCTCTGTACTCAGTTCAAATCCAGGTTTCAAATCGTTCTCGTGTTTTATCACACTTGTCAGGGTTCGCTCTTTTAGAAAATTCTCATTTTGCCAACACATACCCACATCCACCTTTGCGACCTCGCCACCAGTCTGTTGATTAATACTTTGTTTTAATTTGTCTTCTTTGCTCGTCTTACCTCTGCTGGCCCCCTGCGTGCTTCTCCTCCCCCCGTCCTGTCCTCCTCCATCGGCATTTAACTGTTTTTACTTGCATGTTGCGCACGTCTATGGTGATTTCCCTCCCCCCCGTCCCTGCTTCACGTCTTACCCGCACACTTACTGTAGGAAGGGTTCAGCTCCCTTGGCATCTCCCTGAGTACTTTTTGCCTGGTATTATACTTACCTCACTCTTGTTTCAGGCCGATGGTGGTGGAGGACGAGAAGGGGCGTGCCGTGATACCGTCCGTTGTGTTTGTACGGCAGGTGGGTTTTGCGGTGACATAGGAAACATAGCCCCACACCATCACCCGCCCGATCCCAATCCCGATCCCGACCCTTCTACCCCATACGTACATTTATTCAAGTACGTGTGTACATGTGTTCAAGTGGCCCAGAACCCTCCCACTCTGTAACAACAATAACAATACGTACGTTTGCCGCTCCGCCGTGGACAGAAAAAGAAAGGCCGAATTCCTTCACCCCCTTTTTGGGGGTTGGCGCCTTTTTCTTCCTAAGCACTCGCCTTTTAGCCACGGCTATGCATCCTGCGAGCCCACCTTGACCGCCCGCGGCACTCGCCCCTTCCAACAAGTAAAATCCTAATCCCCAACACCCCCCACACATGCATGCATACATACATACAAACGAACACAAACAGGACGGTTCCGTACTGGTGGGGGAGGAGGCCGCCGCAGCAGCAGAATCGGATCCCGCCAACGCATTTTACGGCATCAAACGGCTAATGGGCCGTACGTACAGGTATAAGCGGCGCTGTGTGTACGGACAGCGGACCGAGTAGAGGCTTAGGCGCGGATGTGTACGGCGACACGCGGGGGTTGTCCGGTTGGGTAGTTACCAGCAACGGTTAGGAATCCACGGTGAAAGGAAAAACACCGTAGGGTTGGGTTAGTGGTGGGTTTCTTTTAGCTAGAGAGGGAGGCTGGGGAGCTGAGCGTGCAGGGAGGGGGGCCTCCGGATGTGCATGGGCCGCATATTCATGGGGGGATCGAATCCCCTTTCCCCCCCTTCCTCCTCATACTCTTCCTGCACAGGGAAGTCGTACAGGAGCGGGACGAGCAGTCGCCGTACATACCGTCGTCGCGGCCTCCGACCTCCAGCATGACGCCGGGGGAGCCGAGGCTTTCGCGGGAGGATGAGGTTTTAGCGGGTTATGATCAGCAGCGGCAGCGGCAGCGCCGGTTTCGGAGCTACTCTCTTGTTGAGGGACCTGACGGCTGTGTGCAGGTGTCCTGTCCGGCATTTGGTCGTGACCTGACACTACAGGAGGTGAGATGTAAGGTTTTATTACTGTTCTTTTCTGTCAAGTCATATCATCTCACCTCATGTCATGCCATGCTTTGCTTGTTGAGACGATTGGGGGGTTGTCTGTGGTCGTTTTGGCAGAGGTGATGATACCACCTCGTTCGCGCAAAGTGTCATTCCCCTCCCTTCCTAACCTCCCTGGAGTAGTAGCCCCTACCCCATGCCCACCACATTCATCGCATGGGGTGGGTGGGTGGGTTTCTTCGTCTGAAAACTTCTTGTATGGTTGTCGAAAGGTCGATGAAGCAACTGCCGACGGTGCGGGAGGGGGAGGGGGAAGGGGGGAGACAAAAACGTACGTAAAACTTTTATCGTCCATAGGTCTGTAGCAGCTTACATGCGAGCTGGACGCTCCAGGGAGCTTCCTGCCCCCGGGGGGGCCCCAGGAGCACAGCTCCAGGCGGGGCGTGTCTCTCCCTGGAGGCGACCAAGGGGGGCTGTGTTTTCCCCACCCCATACACCCCATACACGCACGCACATTTTTCCAAACTTCCCCACAACCCACTTATTGTAGACTCTTTCCTTGGCAGCAGCTTCACTCGTTCGTGGTTCGTCTTTCCCCCCACCCCACCCCCAACCCAACCTAACCTCCATCCCCCCCCACCCATACACACAGATCAGCTCCCACTTGCTGCGTCATCTCGTGTCGCGGGCACGCACCTTTCTGGAACGACAAATTGTACGACAACAGCAGCAGCTGGGGGAGGAGCTGGGGGAGGGTGGGGTGGCGACTGGGACAGCGGGGGGAGGCGGAGGGGGGGATCGGCGGTGTGTCAGCACTGTGGAGGTAGGTGTGTATGTCTTTTGACGTACGTACGTATGTATGTTTCTAATTAAAGTTTCGCCGTGTGTGTATGTGTATCTTCCGTTACAACAGTCCTCGCTCCGCCGCTTTTCCTTCCTGTAGGGTGACGTACGCCCTCCCCCCTTTCTTTGGGTTGTCGGCAGTTATCTTTTCCCCCGTTCGAGTGTTTGCTTTTGGCATCTGTCATCCAACTCGGCAGGCCATTTCTTCCTAAAGGAGAGGCCTGCGGTTTCGGACGTCAGTTGGTGGTCAATCCCCCTTCGTTTCTCACATCACCGTCATCGTCATCACCATCATCATCATCATATTTAGTTGGCTTATTCATATTTATTCGACTTACAGAGAAAATACATCCTTTATTTTTGTAAAAACAATAACAGAGCCCAAATTTCAAATAGGTTCAAGCCATTTATCTTACCACTTTATCTTAAGTGTGATTTCCCCCCTTGATCTTCGACCTCGTTGCTCGTCCTCCTTGATCGTCCTCCTTCATTAGGTTCTGGATGCCGTCATTACCGTACCGGCGCACTTCGGCCCGACTCAGCGGCGAGCGGTTTCGGAGGCGGCCCGGGCCGCGGGCTTGCAGCGTGTGAGCCTCCTGCAGGGTGAGGTGAGGGAGGTGTTGTGTGTGGGGAGGTGTGTAAGGGAGAGAGGACGGTGGGAATAACCGGTGGGGTAACCGGTAATGCAAAGTCAAGTGCAGGAGAGAACGACAGCTGCAGAGGGAAGCTGCGGGTACGTGTGTTAAGTTGGGTCGACATTACCACGCGTATGTATGTATGTATGTATATATGTATGTATGTGCGTGTTTTCATCTTCCCGTCCTCTCAAGCCCTACACCCGCCCGCTTCCCCTGGCCGCGGTTGCCTGCTCCGTGCCCCACACACCCGCACGCAGAGCCCATCGCTGCGGCCATGGCGTACGGCTTCGGCTCGCCGCAAGTGCCGTACGATGTACTTTTGGTGTACGATTTAGGTGGCGGTACGCTGGATCTGACAGTGGTGGAGGCGTTTGAGGGTATCATGGAGGTGGGTAGGGGCGGGGGAATGGAGCCCTGGGAAATGGAGGGAGAGTGTGTTTTATGTGCACGCGTGCACAGCACAATGACAGCTTCCATAAGATGTCGATGCGACCACTCGCCAGGGAGCATCAACTTTGCGGACGTGTCTAAACTCCACCAACTTTGCCGTGCATCCGAAATCGGTAACTGCCGATAATACGTGTCCAAGTCCTTGACTGCCGAGTCGAGGAGACCGTCACAAAGGCAGAGGGAGAGAGGGTGTGCGGGAAAAGAAATGAGAGGGACGAGAAGGGATAGAAAGCGGGCCACGAAATGGGTACAGCTCCGTATACGGCTCCGTATACGGCTCCGTATACGGCTCAGGGGGACCCCATTGTTTGGAGTTGGATAGGGAACTCCCGCGCCGCCGCACATGTTCTTGTACCTCCTGCTGCTGCCGGTGGTGATGCCGTACCATTGCCGTACCGCTCTACCGCAGGTTCTGTCGACGTCGGGTGATAACTTTCTTGGCGGCGACGACTTCACCGCCGCCGTGGCGGACTGGCTGGCAATGCAGACGGAAGGGAGGGGGCACCCCCACCCCCACCAACAGCAACAGCAACAACAACAACAACAGCAATCCGAATCCCAACCCCATTTGCATGGCAATAACAACATCACCAACTCCTTAACCGCCACTGCGGACTCTTGCTCTTCCTCTACCACCGTTGCATCCTCGTCCTCGTCCTCCATTACCCCCACCCCCGCCTTCACCTCATCCGCCACCTCCTCTTTGGCCCTCCTTCGTGCTGCGGAGGCAGCCAAGCTAGCTCTTAGCGAGGCCATAGCTGCGACTCGCGCCGGCAGTAGCAGCGCCAGCAGCACTGCTGCGACCGGCCGCAGCGCAAGCGATAGTAGCAGTAGCAGCAGCAGTAGCAGCAGCAGCAGTAGCAGCAGTAGCAGCAGCAGCAGTAGCAGCAGCAGCAGTAGCAGCAGCAGCAGTAGCAGCAGTAGCAGCAGCAGCAGTAGCAGCAGCAGCAGTAGCAGCAGCAGCAGTAGCAGCAGCAGTTGCGTGTCTGTTAAGGTCGGGGTGCCTACCTGTCATCACCGTCATGATGATCACCGTCATGAGCAGCAGCAGCGGGAGGAGGGCCTGACGGAGACCGAACTCAGTGCGGAGACGTTTGAGGAGCTCGTCAGGTTAGTTGGTGGTTAAGACCGTTTATTTGTTTGTATATCATTTATTTGGGAGAAGAAGAAAAAAAGGGATATAGGGTTTGTGTGGTTCAGAGCTAGGAGAGAGGCGGGCATGTAGGGCAGGTGGGGGCAAAAGTGGCAGGCTGGCGGGGCAGGGGCACCCACCATGCAACCCCCCCTTCCCCCCCTCTCACGCACATGCATTGGGGGATGGGCGGTTGTTACTGCCTGCGGGCCGTTGTGCGCTGTTCGCGGGCTGGTGGACTGTTTTCGGTTATGAGATATGGAGCTGGTCCTGGCTTGCAAGCTCGCATGCCGGCATATGGACCGGGCTGGCCGGCTGGCTGGCTGCCAGAAGAGGACGCTAGAGGTCTGCTAGAAGAGGACGCAGACCCCGTCCTCTTCTAGCCCCATTCTCTGCGTCGCTCTTCGTAACCGGCCCCTTTGGGAGGGGCGGGGTCAAGGGGTGGTGCGGGTAAGGCGGCCATGATGATGGTGGTGGTGGTAGTGGTGATGAGTATGGTGCAGCACGCGGCGGTTGGTGCCGGGCCCAGGGGGGGCCCCTCGGAGAGACACTGTTCTCCTCCTCCTTTCTCTTCTTCTCCTTGTTCTCCTCCACTCCTGCTCTCAGGGACTCCGTCCTCCTCTGCTCCGTCCTCCTTCGCTTGTTACGTACGACTAATGAGCCATCCAGCCCCTCTGCTTTTGCCTCTTCGCTACGTGCATGCGTCCATCTCATCTATTTCATCCCATCCATCCACTTTGCATGTAATATTGATTCCCACCCTCCCGTCTGCCGTCCTTGTGATCCTGTGTGTGTGTACCGTTACGGGGCCGTTGGCCGTTGAAATCAATTTCAACGGAAAAAACTGAATAACGGAAATGGCGAAATGTGTCAGACCCTTGCTCCATCGAATGTGGTGGCCCCTCGAGGAGCTGGCGCTGGCCACACGCACTCAGCTGGGGGGCCATCTTCCACCGGATCTGGATCCACGAGGGTGTGGATCTGGTTCTGGATCCCAGTCTGGGTTTAAATCTGGATCCAGTGTCTGTTCGGGCTCGAGCGGCAGCTCTCCGGATTTGGAGGGCCCGGGGCGTCGCGAGGGAGCAGCAGCATGGGAGTTCTCTATCTTCCCGCCACAGCCGGCGGCGGCGGCGGCGGCAGCAGCAGCTGGTGACCACGATGGCTGCGGCGGAGGCGGTGGTACGACAGCAGCTTCTGCTTCGGCGGCGAAGTACGTCGCGCCGCCGCGGCGGTTGACCGGTCTGGTGTTGGTTGGCGCCGCAACGCGGTTGCCCGTTGTACGGGATTACATCACCAAGGTACGAAACGGATGCGGAGAGATGACGCTCTGTGTGTGTGTATATATGTACGCGTAGCTGCTTTGGTATGCTGCCGTACACACGTGCAATTGTAGATTGCTGGGAGAATGTGGGGGATGGAGGTCTCTGGCCTTTGGGAGCCTAAATAGGCAAGGACGTCGCCAAGGAAAAGGGCCTTCCCCCGTAGGTTATTAGGTTAATAGGGCAGCTGCTGTTGCTTGATTCGAACGTAGGACGTGTCACACCTGTCACTGTTGACGTGCGCACTCCTATCTCCTATTCTACCACGCTTTGGTGCAACAACAGCAACAGCAATGTGGGTAAACCTGTATATCTATGTCGCCCCCGCGCCGAGCACCCCCAAACTCAGCAGCGTCTGTAGTCCCCGTCGCCCCCGGGGTACCGTTTTGTTATAATGGAGTCCATAACCTCGGTATGAATCCGTGGCGGTGAGCCACTGACCCCGCAGCACTCTTAGCCAGCCTGGGGCCCGCCGTGCGGTGTTTTTTAGTGTCGTACCGTGGTTAGGACCTGAGCGTCTGACGCTCCGGATCCCACCACCCTCGTGACCTGTGGCTTTTAGTGTGGAACCCTCCCTGTCCACGTTCCCCCCTCGTATCATCGGTAGTACTGGTGCTATCGGTGCAAAATTACTGCTGCTATTGCTGTTTTTGCTGCTACTACTGGTGCTGCTACTGCCATTGCTGCTTCAGGTTACTGGCCTGTCTGTACGGGAGGGTGTGGATCCGGAGGTAAGAGGTTCCAGGAAGGTGTAAGATGTAGCTGCAACATGAGCCTAAATAGGACACTTAGGGCTCCGAGGGGCCAGACCGGGGAAGGGCCCCGTCGGTAGAGCTGTATCCTTGCCCCTGTTGTCGGACTCCCTGGCCCCTCACGTTTGTCTTGCCTACATACCTGCCTCCTGCTGCCATACCCCCTCCTCCTTTAGGACTCCCTAGGCAGTTTCGTTCGGACCTCATGGACACCCGGCAGTCCACACCTCACTTTTTCGCGCATATGGTTACCCCTCCACCCCCCCGCCCGCCGTCGCACCCTCTCTCACTGCCTACCCGCGGCGCATTACACGGCTGTGCTAGTAGGCCATCTGATCCCTTCCCAATCCAGGCAAACCCGACAAACCCTCACAAACACGACACTCCCCACCCCCTCCCCCCTTGTGCTTCCCTCTCTCCCTCACCCGCCTGTGCTCCGCGCGTGTGTGTTCGGTTCGGTTTTGTGTTTTGGTTTTGGCGAATTTGGCCCGATGACGTCGCGTACGGACGGACGAGCAGACGGCCGTGGCGCTGGGGGCTGCGCTTCATGCGGGCCTTATGGTGGGGTCTGTACGGCGGGGGATTGAGATGGGCGACGGGGGGTACGTGTCGGATCAGCATGGGCGCGCGTCGGGGTTCCAAGTGGCGGCGGCGGGCGCGACGCCAGCACTTGCCAGCGGCGGCGGCGGCGGCGGCGGCGGCAGTAACACCGCGGTGTTGGGGCTGGCTGCTGCTGCGGCAGTGGCGGCGGAAGCGGGCGAACCGGAACTTGTTTGGGAGCCATGAAAGCGAAGAGCAGTGCCGCGGCGACAGCATCTTTTGTGCATGTAGATTGAAGAGAAAGTAGATTGTCGATACGGGACCTTCGTATTGTACATATGAAGGGTTCAGGTTCGGGATGGGTTTAAGAGCTGCGGTGTCAGGCGAGCTCTTGGCGTCTATTACGATGATGATGGCGGTAGCGGTGGTGGCGCGAGAGTGCGTAGTAGTGGTAGTGCGTGGAGCTGTGCGGCATCGGCCACACCTCGCCACGCGCTTTAAGGCCTCCCGTATTACAGAATTGCCGGAATCTCACCAGATGCCCCGAGCTGCGAAGAGGTTGTGAAGGTCGACACGCGAAAGCTTGTCACTATGCCGCTCTTGTCAAGGCCATAGCCCACCAGCAGCTTGATAATTACAGTATGGCTGCTTGCTCGTATAAGGGATGACCTCGAGTAATCAGGGTCAGCCGCTGACTTTTCTACTGTTGAAGAGGGAACAGCTCTGGAGATGGTGACACAAAAGAAGTGGGATTGTGGTACGGCCACTGCGTGCGAGCAGCGAGGACCGTCGACCGCGGAGGTGGGCAGTAGTGTTGGGAGGTGATTTACTGAGTTTTTATCGTACAACGGTATGAGCTCTGGCAGGATTCCAAGTTTGCAGCGCAACATTTTATTATGGTGATGTCTGAGCGTTGTAAGTACGTACATATTCAACTGAAACTTTAGCGGAAGCTACGAAAAACTCGTTTGTTTCGATAGCATCTGCCACCATAGGTTGTCCATGAGAGGATAGAACTGTACCGAGCTCCTTGACGGTGCTTTCACGATAAATGTTTCTTGGAGGATATTTGGGCAGCTGCGCTGCGCAGCTTGCGACTTATGCCGCATGCACCGCCTGTCAGTGCGCGTCGCATGAGGTGCTGCGGCACAGCGCAAGGGTCGCCTGGTCGGTGTTGTTCTTCCTTGCTATGATCGTAGCTTGGATTCTACGTGACTTTGCGACTCCCATCCTTCAGAAAATTCCTTGTGAGATTCTCTCCCACGCAACAATTTCAGGAACCTCTATTAGTATTAGGCCTTGCATTGTATTGCTTCGCTACATATTACAGGCTTTTAGTTTGTGAGGCCCTGCGAAGGATTTCCGACATCGCAGCTTCCAACCACCCACAACGCAGGGATTGTCAAGGATGTGACGGCAGTGGACATGGACAAATGGTTTGGACAGCAGGCAGTATACCGTGTCAGCATGGGCAACTTTGTGAGTAGTCTACCTGGGAAACCCTGCTTCAGCCAATTTTTGCCTGGAACGCTATCCTTGCCTGAAGGACTCCTTGGAGCGCTATGTTTATGAAAGTAATCCTCCTGGCCTTGGCAACGCCCGTCGTCAGGGGTTTGAGTCCCCTTCCACGGCCATCCCTCTTGAAACACCATCCTACCTTCCTCCCGCGTAGCTCTTCTTCGCCTGCATGTCGCTGGCCACGATTGGTGTCAAGTTCAGGGGCGATAAGCGCGATCGCTATCTGCACCACGCACACCCTCTGCTGAAGCTGGCGCTGTGGCTCCTCTTCACCGCACTGCCCTTCCTGTTTCCCAACGGGGTCTTGAACGCCTACAGTGAGTCACAACAACGTCCTCCTCCCCTCCTGCCACGTTCTTCCAACGTCCTGCTCCCCCATATGAACAGCGCGCTGGCCGCCTAATCTACCCCTGACGTAACCCATTAACTCCGGACTTAGAACCGGACTTTGAACTGGTCCAGGTCCATCACGTCACATGGCGCATGACCTGCTTGTCTGTGTTTCAGACAACGCCAAGGAAACGACGTCATCATCATCATCGCCGCCATCATCAACGTTATAATTATCGATATCATCATTATCATCCTAGCTTTAATTTGGTTGTTTGTCCTTTGCTGTCACGTGGATGAATATATTCTAACGTTTATATTATTCATCCAGTGGTTTAATTTCCCATCCCCCATCCCGTCCTACCTCTCTCTCTCTCTCTCTCTCCTCCTCTCCTTACCTTTCACCTGATTGCCAACGCAGGCTGGATGGCTCGTGTGGGTTCGGGCGTGTTCCTGGTCATCCAGATGATCATCTTGCTGGACTTCGTACAGGTCGGTACGGCGATATGGGAAAAGAGATTTTCCTTGCTTAGCGGTTATGTTAGGCCATGCTCCCTTGTGTGACGGTGTGCTATATGCTGGTGTGCCTACCTTCAGTTGCAGCCCAGTGCCGTACAGCCTCCCGTACGGAATACTGCGGGGTGACTGGCTGCACCGAGGGGCCGAGAGCCCTTTTCGGCTTCTTCGAAGAAACTGACTACCCTAGTTTATAATATGCTTTGCTTGCCTAATTGTCTGTGTGTCTGTATGTTTCGTGTCCGACCCGTCCCCTGTCAGGGTTGGAACGACAGCTGGGTGGCGAACGGGGAGGACGACGACCGCTGGCTGTACGGCCTCATGGGCCTCACGTGCGTGGGGTACGGCAGCACACTGACGCTGGCAGGTATGAATGTCTGCATGTGTATGCGTATGTTCTCATGTATGCTGTTGCATTAGGCATTTTGTCGTTTTTGCACGTATTTCTTGTTTGCATAACGTATGCATAATTTATTTCCGATTAAAGAAAATATTAGGGTTTAAAAGGGTTTTATTCGCAGCAGCTTTGTCCGTCAATTACAGTGTCTTCCCGTCCAAACCCCTACCGCACCCCAACCCCCCCAACCCCCCCTCCCCTCCCCCCTACCCCAGGCTTCATGTACTACTGGTTCAAACCGGCCGGTGCGGGTTCCTGCTCCCTAAACATCGCCCTCATCACCCTCACCCTGCTGCTGGTGGTGACATTCAGTGTGCTGTCGCTGGCGCCGCTGGCGCGGGGGGTAAGAATGTATGTACGTGTGTTTGTATGTATGTGCGAGTGTGTCTATGTGTGGTTTGAGGGGAAGGGAAAGCTTAGGTCTGCGTTTGCGAGAGCTGTACATATAGAGAGACCTATTAGGTATTATACAGGTTAGACACTACTGGTAAGGCACGGACCATTGCCCCCCGGGAGATCGCGGGATCGAGACCTGTCAAGAGTCGAAAATCCTTCCGATGGTGATATGTATAAGTGCCCCAAGTCGATGGACGGTGGTGACCTGGGATAAAGGTGACTCGCGAGCCGACCAGGAATGGAGTTGGGCCGCTGTCGATCCGGCAGATTCCGTTGGATGCTGGTGGTGGGTGCGGAACCTGAGCGATCCACTGAAAAGTTGACTAGGGTGACTGGATGAGGGTGCCCCGAAATACCGGGGAAGGCAGGGTTTCGCCGGGTAGCTGCCGCAGGGTGAAGATATACCCCCCTGTTTCACACATCATATACAGACATCTGTGCCATGTGCCGTGTGTTGTTGCATGCTGTGAAAGAGGATTTGACAGGGAGGAAGAGGGGTTAGTTAGGCCCGGCGGGCTTGGGAAGGGGGGAAGAAGAGGGGGGAAGAGGGGGTTGTGTTTTAAAGACGCGGTGCTAGTTCGTCCCATTTCTCTAACCCCTGTGTCTTTCTGCCCTCTCGTTCTCTTCCCCCGCTTCCCTGATTGAAGCCCAACTTCCCCCTCCCCTCGCCGTTGGTAGCTGTCTCATTGATCTTACGTACGCATACAATTCCCTTACACACACACACACTCCTCATACCCATCACTCGTCTGTGGTTCCTCTTCCCCCTCTTACACCCCCCACCCACCCCATCTTGCACGTCTTGCGTATGATTTCCCCCACCCCCCCCAGGGCTCCATCTTCCCTTCCTCCATGATTGCACTGTACGCGGCCTACCTGTGCTTCTCCGCGCTGCAATCCGAGCCCCGGGAGTACGCGTGCAATGGACTGGGACACCGGCTCACAGCCGCGTCGGGTGGGTTGGAACATATACACATACATACATACATACATACATACATACATACATACATACATACATACATACATACATACATACATACACATATATACATGTGCATATGCGCACACTGGTTGGGTCTTGGGTGGGGAGGGGGGAGGGGGTGGGGGTGAGGTCCAAGAGCGCATCTTTGGCGGTTGCGGATGATGTGATGTGGGTGTGGGTGCTTTGGGCCGCGGGTGGCCACAGTGGACTGTTTTTGGCGCTCCTTGTGCTGCATCGCCGTACCATTCCCCTAAACCCCCTTCCCTCCTCTTAACCTCCTCTCACCCCAAACACACACACCCACACCCACACGCCCCATCCAGCGGTTCAGGCTCTGTGTCGGGCAGGAGAGGGGGCAGGGGCCCCCCTCATGCCCCTCCCCTTCCCCAAAGGGGGGAAAAGTGCTTGTCGGCGGTCTTGTTCGTTGGGGCTGGGCGGCAGCCGCTGGCCAGCGTCAGGCCTGGCAAGATATCTAACAATACACACACATACACACATACACACACACGCATACACACACATACACACCCCTCTCTCCCCAGGCGGCACTCTGGCCCTCGGCATGGTCGTAACCCTGGCATCCGTGGTGTATGCGGCCTTCCGCGCGGGCTCCAACACGGCGCTGTTCACGTTGGAAGGCTCCGAGGAGGGGGAGCCGCTGTCTCAGCGCCAGGCGCTACTGCCCGGGGGCCCGGGGGGAGAGGAGCTGGAGGCTGGAGGTGGTGGTGGTGGTGGAGGTGGTGGGTTCACCAGTGCGGGACTGGACGGGGTGCCGGATGTTGCAGAGGCGACCCGAGAGGCAGTGACGGGCGGACCGCCGGCTAGGTGCGTGGATGGGGGGCATGGTGGGTGTATGTCTGTGTACATGTCTGTCTGTCTGTGATTTGTCGGTTTGTGGGCGGTTGTGTTGCGCGGTACGTGTGGCGAGTTGAGGGGAGGGAGGGAAATGCCGGACGAGGGCGGACGGAGGAGGGGAAGGGGGAGGAGGGGGAGGGGGAGGAGGGAGTGTGTGCAGCAAAGTTGGGGATCGCGGATAGGTTGGATCTTCATTTGGATAGGGTTCGGGCCGTTGGTATCGGAACAGAAAGCCCACGCACACACATACACACATACACAGGCGCATGCACACGCATACACCCAGACAAATGGGAGGATGTACGACAATGACGAAGATGGTGATGATGAATGGCGACCAGCCACGACCGCCGCCTGTGCACAACCGCCGCTGCCGCTGTTCCTAAAACCCCCATTCCCCCCCCCCCCCACACACACACTTCGTGCCGACGCTCGCAACCTCCCCCCCCCTCCCCATCCGCTTTTCCCCCCTCTTATGCAGGCCCTCCACCGCCGCCGCGACCTCCCTGACGCCCGTGACGTACAACTACTCCTTCTTCCACCTCATCTTTGCGCTCGCCTCCATGTACATCGCCATGCTCATGACGGGCTGGGGTACCGTGGCACAGGTGCGTGTGTGTGTTTTTGTGTGTGTACATGCGTGTGTATTCGTTACACATCTTACTGGACCTGTTAAGGCCGGGGGGCGCTACCCGCCCCACGGGTGAGACCGCCGAAGCACTCCGCGCGCGCGCGTGTGTGTGTTTGGGTTGGGGGAAGGGGAAGGTCCTGGTTTGGGGAAGGCCGTGTGTGTGTGGGCGGACGGGTAACGGAAGGCGGGAAACCCACGTACACAAAACGCGTGGAAGGCACCAGCTGCCAGCCATCTCCTCCCCCCACACCCCAGCAGCTTCACTCGTTCGTGGTTCGTCTTTCCCCCCACACCCCGCTCCACGCGGTTGCGTGTCATTGCTTTGGACTCCATCAGCCGCAGTAGTTTGCAAGAGTTGCAAGAGTCGGCATTTGTTTTCCCTTCTTGACTTTGCATCGTGCCTTGACACACGCACACACACATACACACACGCATACAAACACACGCACACACACACACCTAACGGCCCCTGGGCGCTCCTGGGCCTTCCTCCCCCCAGCGCCTTCACGCCGATGTCGCCCCTCCCTGCTTCCCCTCCCCGCGCACACCCCTCCCCTCCCCCCTCCCCTCACCTCTCCCCTCACCCCTCCCCCTCCCCTCTCCCCCCATGGCCTGCCTTAGGAGAAGGACCGCATCGATGTGGGTTGGGCGAGTGTCTGGGTGAAGCCCGCCGCGGAGTGGGTCACGGGGCTGCTGTACATGTGGACCCTGGTGGCGCCGGCGCTGTTCCCGGAGAGGGACTTCTCTTGATGACCGGGGGGGGGGGTTG